ACATTTTTTTGTTTGTGGACTTTTTTTCATGGGCCAAGAATATGATTGCGTACCCTTACAAAGTTGTATGAAAGTTAAATATTTCACATGAATGACCATTGCAAACAATATTAAAAACATTGACTAGTAGTTTTTCACCACTCGTACAAGCAAATAAAGTCTAGCTTGAATTAAACAGAACACAATAGATTTTTGAAATGTTTCTGACACATATTTTATAATTCACACTTTGATCTTTCAAACAAAGATTTGAGTCAAAGAAGATATCACTCATTCGACATATACCTTAATATGAATCAGATTTTTTTCCATTTTAATTAGTTTGAAATATAACTAACTCCAAAAATGTAACTAGAGAGGTAATTATTTCGTAAGATTTACTTAGATTTGATAGCAATCTATATCCTTTGTCACCTATCATTCATTTCTTAAACGATCATCAAAAATATTTTTGTCTACATTTTTTTGAAATTTTTAAAAGAATGAAAAAAATGCTCTTCTTGCTCATTCTTCCTTTTTTTTTGTCTCTTTCTACTTAAACAATGCTCTTATACACTATAATATAAACAATTGAAAATTTCTATTACTTTTCGAAATACATATGATTTAAAAGCGAATTACTGATACTCTTCTTTGTGATTGCTGCGTTTAAACAAGTTGATTTGGAAAAAAATTGTGTGCTAAAAAAGTTTTAAATGAAATATGTACAACAGAGAAAGGAGTTCTTTTTTTCTTCTTCACTATATTTTTATAAGAGAAGCCCATTAATAAATTAAATGAGAAAAAAAAAAGATCAAATAGATTGTTTACTATACACGGACATGTATATATAATAAATGAGGACAAACAGCAAATAAAAAGTAAATATATGAAACAACAATAAACTTGAAAATGGCAATAGCATAGATAAACATCGACAAAGAGAGAAAGAAAAAAACATAGATTTAACATATATAAAGTTAAACAAAGCTGCTGATTTTGTGTTTTTGATTGTTGCTGTTAGTGGTGAAGTTTTTGTACGTACAGAGTGAACAAAAAAAAAAAGATGTATCGAAGCTACCACGTAAGTAAAATGATACAATTGTTAAAACTGATAAGTTATTTCTATAAATCATACGTCTGAGAATTATAATACTTGATAGTGTAACTAATTTTTGAACAACTATTGCTTTTCAATGATTTTCAAGCTATAATTTAGTTTAGTTTTACAACCGCTTATCAGTTATTAGAGACTCAAAACAGAATTTATTTATGAAAGAATCAAAAGAGAATACCATGGCCAGTTTCGACTTTTCTCATGTGGTTTCCTTCGAGAAAGACAGAGTTAAGGCGCGTCAAGCAACACAACTTCGTCCACACTGTATGAGAGTGTAACTATTCCTTGTTCTTATCGAACAATGAACAATAGCTTTCCTATGGCGAGAACGGAGCACAATCCCTAGTTGAATTTCTATGAGTTTCCTCACAGGATCCGAAACATATCCTACTGGAATTTCGCATTAATTTCTTAGGATTCTAACAAAATCCTATAGAATCCTAATGAAATCAGATATACCCGAAAGTCATTGGATTTTCTAAGATTCTGTTAGTATCCTAAATAAACTTCAGAGAGATTTTAGGATCCTGCTTGGAAGTTATTAAGTGGATCTTAAATGTTAGGATTCCGTAAGAGCCTAGTTGGAAATAGGCAGGAAGTGCGTAGAATTTTGTCTACAGATATCATTCGTCATATTCTGCTTCTCCATTAAGTATTTCCTTTTATTCTATCAGAAATGATTCATCCTTTAACATAAACTGTAGCTACTAACTTTTGCTCAACAAACGTTGAGACAAATGTGAAAAGCACCATACTTATGGTTTGATCTTGGGAACTGGTTATCCATCCTCTTACGGGTCACGCTCGTTCACAGTGGAGAACGACCAAGAATAAAAGAATTAGTCACAATTCTTCATAGAATTAAATATGCGGTTAATTATTGCGGTTTTAAGAAATCTATATGAAATGTGAAACTTGATACAATTTTAATTTAGTTTAGTTTTAAAACCGTTTATCAGTTGCTAGAAACTCAAAACAGAAATTCATTTCTGAAAGACTCACAAGAAGACTGTTTTGAGTCTCTAGTAACTGATAAGCGGTTGTAAGGCGAAAGTAAATTAAAATTGTATCAAGTCGAGTTTCACATTTCATCGAGACTTATTTCTTTATCCGCATTTGCTTTATCATCTTTAAAATAACTGCGCCATTTTATTAATGTCTAATAAAAAAAATAAAAAAAATATACAGGGTGGCCCAAAAGTTAGTTTACCGAAGATTAATTAATTGAGTATTTCAAGTATTAGACAATTGTTTCTTAATAGTTTTAATAATTTTAACATTTTAACTAATGCATGTTGATGTTAATAATTGTGACGTAAATAAATAATTTTGATGTAAATAAAAATAAAATGTACATAATAATGTGTGTCTATTTCGGTAAACTAACGTTTGGACCATTCTGTATTTATTTTGAAAATATCGTGCATATGTCTCATTCGATGGTATTAATGATTGAAAATAATTTGCTATTGATTATAGTGATTTTTAATCGGAGTATGTAGACAAATAAAGTTATGATGTGAACAATAACCAATATGATGTGTATGAAAGTGATAAATAAAAATGGTTTTTGAGCAATCGACTATAAGCCTAGTACATGACACTCTTCTATGAAGTAGATTCCCCAAAAACTGAAAAATCACAAAGGATCTTTTTTTTTTATTATACACCCTTTTGTTTTGCTCAGAAAGCGAGAAATGAAAGTCAGAGTTCTTTAGTAAACTTCTGGGTAATTCATTTTTTTTTTTTTCTTTTTTAGAAATTCTTTACTAGGAAAATATCTAAGACATGCTCCAAAATAAGAACAAAAACAGCAATTGAATATTAAACTTCATAGCTGCATCAGCAGACGTCTCAGATTAAATTTCTTTTATTCATGGTCAGGTTTCGTTTTATTTTTTTTATTGTATGTTTTTCTAATTACGAAATGATGATCATGTGTTGTGTGAAAATTAATCGCAATTATCTGTCGACACTAAAATTACCATTCTTGTTTTGAACAAAAACGCCGTCTTATTATTAGAGTCGTTTCTATTAGAAGAAATATGATCTTTCATTTACCTTGAGACTAGTTTCAAAATTTGTTAGAAATTTTTTTTCCTATTCACAAACAAATATAAAATAAAATAGAAAGGAGAATTTTAAAAGTCTTCAGTCCATGTTTCCAATTCATTGTCTCGATTTATTTACTCATTCAAATTTATTCACAATCATTTTCCCATCGTTAACAACGTAGTGCACACGCGAAAGAGAGAGAGAGTGTGTGTGTGTGTGTGTGTGTACGTGAAAATAGCGATATATTTATATATCAAAATAATGAAAGTTGTAAATTAATGTATTTAATTAAATAGGAGAAATTAAAATTTAAAGACAATTTGTTCAGATTTATCGACAAGTGATATTGCTTTTGAAGTTCCCTGACAATTTATATATGTTTGTTGTCGAGATTGGAAATCTATCTAATTATATCCATAAAAATTAAATCAAGACCACAACAAAAGCATTTTTAGCATTTTTATGTTTCAAAATAAAAAAACTGAAGAAAAAAATTCTTTTCGTAATTTCCATTTTTGTCTGTGCCTATCGATATTGGCATATATTTACAAATCTTTGATTTTCGTTGAAGCCTTTGTATGAGAAAAAAAAAAAACTGGTTATATCGTGTTGATTGTTTCGAATTTTCTTTCTTTCTTCATTCATTTTAAACATGACTTCTGATTATATTTACTTCTATTATTTTATAGAGATCATTTTAGAACAATTCTCCCTTTGACTTTTTTTTTCAAAAATTCTTTCCTTTTTTTTCTTTTTTTTTTTTTTTTTTTGCACAAACATACATACCATCACATCATCATCATCTTCATCATCATCAATATATAGTGTAAACTTTTTCTTGTTCTTCTCTTTTTTTCATTTCATTTTCTATTTGTTTCTCGTTTCGGTTTGCGGTTCTGCGGTTCATTTGCATTTTTACATTTTAAAAATTTCTTTTAATAAAGAAGAAAGATCATTATTTGTATCTAAGGATTAATATCACTTATTAAAGTGAATTTTTATTACTTATTAAAGTGAATCAATACGTATAATGTACAAGAGAAAACAGGTTTGATTGAAAAAGAATCTTTTTTTTGATTTTCTTACCTTTTTACTTTGACAGATTGTAAATGACATTTAGTTTGGACTTAATATAAACAATTTACCCTTCTAATGACTTGTAAAATCATTTTATATGAGAAGATTCATCAAACAAAATTTTTAAGTATGAATTGAAAGGTGTTAGATTTAAGTATAACGATTAGTTTTAGTTTTTTTATTAAAAAAATTTTCATTTTCTAGAAGAAAATTTTTTAATAACTTAATAACTCTAGTTAACAATTCGTAAATTATTATCGTTTATAGAAAGTATTGCAGTGATATCGAAAAACGTTTTTTTAAAAGATAAAATAGTTTCATTTTCTAATAACAATAGTTCGCTAGACAAAATCCTAGGCAATTCCTGTCTATTTCCTACTAGGATCTTAACATTTATGATTCACTTAATAACTTCCTAGCAGGATTCTAAAATACTCGAATTTCTCTTAAGTTTGTGTAGGATACTAACAGAATGTTAGAAAATTCTATCACTTTCGGGTATATCTGATTTCATTAGGATTCTGTACAATTTTGTTAGGATCCTAAGTAGAATATTGGTAGAATATGTCTCGAATCCTGTCAGAAAACTTATAGAATTTCTACTAGGATTTACTAGCGCATTAGATTTTTTCACTCACATCACATTGTCCATTATTTCTTCATTGTCAAAAGCTAACTGTTCACCCTTCCTAACCCATTTTTTAAACAGAAGAAGAGAAGTGTGATGTCAAGTATCAGTAAAATTTATTTTACACTGTATAACAAACGAACAATGGATAAGGTATTGAAAAAAAAAGAAAAAAGACGACGAAACAGTAAAAGCAACAACATTTTCTATTATCGTCTTTTGATTCCATTTTATTTTTCAAGTATTGAGGAGATTTTTTATTCTTAAGCCATTAGGCTCCGCCTAGTATTTCTCTTATTTTTCTCAAAATATTTTCTCCTTGTTCATTCATTATAACTTTTATTTTTTTGTATTTTTTTATTCTTTTCTTCTCTTCTTCAATTTATGAACTACTGCTCTCGTCTCTATTTACATCAATTGATTATTCAATTTTTTTTCTTCTTTTTCGTTCAAGAATCTACACATACACTCATACATACATGCATACTTGATTTCACACTTTGGAATATTGGTTAAATACACCTAAAAAAAAAAAAACTGTGAACAATGTCGTCATCTTATAGTATACGGTTTCTGGTTAGTTATCTTGACAACCAAAAAAAAGATGATCAGTGATGCATTTATTTTAATATTAATTAAGTTCATTTAATCGTTAAATTTCATTTCTTTAATTTAAGGAAGGAACATCATCAATTGGTGCTGGTGTTAGTAGTGGTGAAAGAACATCGGGTATTCGAGAAAATACATTAGATGCTCGTACGCGTGAAATTAATATGGAAACTGAACGACTTCATGCACGTTTACGAGATATAGCTCAAGCTGTTATTAATGATGAAGAAAGTCCATTTGATTTTGATATTGATGGTGGTGGTGGTGGTGGTGGTGGTGGTGGTACTGGTTCACCACGACGTCTTTCACCATTGAGATCAGCTGGTGGTGAGAGATTTGATTCACCTGATCGTACATTAACTCGGTAAGTATTTATAATACTTATTCAAAACTATATTCTTATATTTATATATTTCATTTAAAATTAGAATTCGTTCACCTCGATCACATTCGCCACAACGAATATTAACATCTCGTCCACATTCTCGTAACGTTTCACCATCATTTGCTGATTCAACATTTAGCGCTGTTCATGCAGCATTAAATAAACGACAAGTTCAGGTAAATAATAAGAATATTTTATGTTTTATTTCAACCTTATATAAGAAATAGCAAACAAACAAATAAACAAACGATGATCATTATACACTTAAAACCCTATTGCTGCTGTCGAAGTTTAATTTGCGCTCATTATACTCTTTCATTTATAATGGAATTGACATTTTAAATTGGAAGCCCAGCGCTCTTATTTGTGAATATTAGCATTTTTTTTTTTAAAAAAAACAAACATCATATAAAAGACATTTCTTTTCCGCTCTCATTTCCTTCTTTTCTTATTCAACTATTCTAACTCACTTTCTTCATATATATATATATAAATATATGTTTCATACAAGTCAATGCCGACTTTTGTTTTGTACTAAATTGACAAACACAACTTTGAAATAAAAAAACCAATCATATAGGAGACACATTTTGAAAAGAGAAGGATTTTAGTTAATGATAATTTATTATGTATATCTTCTTTTAGTGATTATTAGTCTCATAAACTCATTTCCGTGATACCAATCATCTCTAACATGTTTGATTTAATTATTTAAATTGAATTAGTTTTTTTTTTTTTTCTTTTCTATATTTGTCGTCAATATTTTATTGAACATTATATATATATTTTTCTTTTTTGAATTCTATTCAAGGTCCATGATCTTCAAACAAAATTGACAAATTCTCGTGATTTAATTCAACAACTTAAACGTCAATTAGATGAATCTGATTCTGAACGACGTCATTTAGAACAACAATCAACCGGTTATAAATTACAAATTGATGAATTACGTCGACAATTTGATGATACGGCTACGGAACGAGATCGATCAAAAACAGCACTTGAATCATCAAATTATGAAAAAATTAATTTAGAAAAAGTTCGATTAGTATGTATTAGTGAATAAATTAATTTTTATATAAAATTTGATAATGTTAAAAAATATTATTCATTAATTCTAGTCATTGAATAATCAAATTGATTCTTTACGAGCTGAATGTGAACGATTACAACAATCAAATACAGAATTACAACGACAACGGTAGACATATATTAGTTGATAATGACTAAACATTGTTTTTAATTTTTTGGTTTTTTTTTCTTCATAATACTAGTGATATATTAGAAGAAGAAAAAGAAGATACAATTAAAGACAAAATTCGTCAAGTAAAAGAAAATGAACGATGGTAAGTGTGATCATACATTAAATCAAAAATAAAATTAATTGATATGATTTTTTTCTAGCATAAAAGTAATTGAAAATCTTGAAAATAAAATATCTCATTTGAAAAAAGATGTTACAGAATTACGTGAACAATATCATAAAGAAAAATTGGGAAAAGATGTATTTGGCCAAGAAAAACATGTTCTTTGTAAGTATATTTAGAAATATCAACTAAATGTTTTTTTGTGTTTTTTTTTTTTTTTACAAATTGTTTTTTCTTTACACAGCGGATGCTTTGTCAAGATCGGAGGTTTATCGTGCCGAAATTGAACTTGATTTAAACAAAGAACGAAGTGAAGGCGCAACATTACGAGATTTATTATGTAAAGTACAATCGTTAAATGAAGGTCTAGCACAGGATAAAGTGGAATTAAATAGAATTATATTAATGGTATATGTTTACAACTGACAAATAAATAAATTTTATCTAATTTCTTTTTATATTTAATTAAGCTTGAACAAGAAAAGAATTCTATACATAATGAAAAATCGGATGCTGAACAAGATAAATCAACGTTACGTCAAGAACTAGTAAAAGTTGAACAAGAAAAGATTGATGTTGAAAATGAACGTGATAGTATGTTGAAGAAAAACATATATATGTCAAATAATTAATTAATTAAATTAATTTCATTGATTTTATTTTTTTAGCTATTCATCATCGTTTACAATTATGCGATGTTAGTCGTCAACAACTAGAACAAGAAATTATATTATTAAATAAAGACAAGGCGGAAATTATTGAACAATTTCAACATGTAAGAGATACAACGATATATAAGAAATAGTTTTTTAAAAGAAAATATTGTTTAGATGTCACGTTTGAAAAATACACTTGCCGAAGATTTAATAGCAGCTAAAAAAGATATTGAACGTTTGAGTGATCATAATTTACGTTTAAATAAAGAAAAAGAAGATCTAACAAAAGAACGTGGCAATCTTGTTGTCGATTTAACCGGAACGGAGCGAGACAATCAAACCCTAAGCTCGGTAAGACATTAAATTCAAGAGAAATTAGATATTATCTCTATTCTATATGTTATAAAATTTTCATTTTTCAAATTTAGACACTTAGTGCATTACGTGCCGAGTAAGTAGATAATTTCATCTTTTCTGTTAGAAGAAGTCTTCCAATATTTTCTATTGAATGGCGTAAAACGTGAACATCTATCTCATGCTGTTTAGACGTTAGTCGAAAAATATCTATGCTCACTAAAATTCAAAATGGATAAGAGATGCATGAGACTTCTGCGCGAAAATAATCATATAACAAATATTGTTAATAGGCATCCACGAATATAATTTTAAAAGAGACAGTAAAATTAACCCGGGAAGATGATCCCCAAGTTGCAAATCAATTTTTCGATGAAACTAAGTGGACTATATGTAATTGATGATGTTGATTATAAATATGAACATTGGAATTACTCTTACACTTTTGTTGACCGATATTTTGGATCTTCAGAAAACTAGAAAAAGTTTCTGACCCAGACATTTTGTAGAGGACATAAAACTATCTATGTTCCGTAAGTTTTAGCTTTTTAATATAAAAATTAACAGCATAGAAAAAGTCCCGAAAAGAGTAGTTACTCTGTTTTCGATGGAAAAACGTTGCAGTAGAATACTTTGCAAAAATCATAGTATCATTCAATGATATTTTGAAAAACGAAAGCTTATGAAAGATAGACAGTTTTGTGTCTTCTACAAAATGGCCGATTGAGAAAAAGTTTCTGATTTTTGGCTGAATTAAACCCAACTTTATTAGGTCCATTTCTGCTCTGAACATAACCTAATATCTTATGTTCAAGCAAAGTTAAAAAACAAACACTTAAATATATCAGAACAACTTATAATAAGTACCTGAATCAAAGAACGAACTGAAAACAAACCTAAAGTATCCAAAGCTTTAATTCTTTAAAGTTAATTAACAGTAAAATATCTAAAACTTAAATTTAGTACATTAAATTCTGTCAGACTAAACATAAAAATTATTACCACATCAATGTAATCCAATTTCTGACATAATGAACTAATAATCCTATTTATTGTAAATAAATCGGATTTATTCCACGTAGGCGTTACTATATTTTAATAAATATTTATTGAAAATTTCTTTTTATAATTTTGAGTATTTTGTTTTCAAATCTGTTTATTTTCTAATGTCATTGAATAAAAATATTTATTTAGTAAAAATGTTGAATTCGTTATTGACTGACCTTGCAAGTTCTATTAATTTATTGTGATTTTGAAATTTTCAGTTCAGGTTATTAGGGGTATAATATTAGAGTTGTATTATAGAGATTCTGTGAGCTATGCTTTTTGTTCAATTATTTATTTTTTTTTCTGAAGATTCGGTTTCCAAAAAACCGGTCAACAAAAGTCTAAGAGCAACTCCGATGTTCATATTTATAATCAGCATCATCAATTACATATAATCCACTTATTTTCATTGAAAAAATGATTTGCAATTTGGGAACCTTCTCTGATAAGCACAATTCGATCGTTAAAAATATTATTTGTTTTTTAAAAAAAGGAGGATAAATGGTGCTCTTTTATCGAAAGAGTTAAGCTAGTGAATGTTGCTGAGTAGCTTAGTTTTTTCTAGACGATCGGCATTTCTTTTCATATGTAGAAAATTGTTATTTACAAGTATATTTCGTTTAAGTATAGTAAAACGACGATAATATCAATTTTTAGTTCCAAATTGCTTTCTATTCGTATTTATTATATTCTTCCCACGAGATATTTAAATCTTTCGACTTCCTAGTAAAGTTATAGTTAACTAGTCTTTTTCAACACGTTTTATACAAAAAAAAAGTGTTTGACAGTTACTACTTGAATAGCTCGTATGACACGATAGTTTTTTCATTATTTTAGAAAGGAAAGTCTTGAATCGAATTTGTATGAAGCACAAAATATCATCAGTCAATTGGAAGTAAAAAAGGATCAATTAGAAGGTGAAAATCAAGAATTATTATTGAAAAAAGAACAATTAACAAATGAAGTACAACGTTTACACGATGAATTAAATAATGAAATCGAAAAATCTGCTCGTACGCGTGATCAATTAAATCAACGTAAGTTTGATCTCATAATACATTGCAGATACAGTTCGTCATTTAACCATCATCATCATTATCTATTCTAGGTTTGAGCTTTTTGGAACAAGACAAAGAAACATCAATACGTGCACATCATCAAGCACATGAAGATGATGTTGAACGAATGATGCGTGAACGAGATAAATTACGTCATGAAATGGAAACAGCTCGAGAAGAAACAATTCGACAATTTACTCGTGAAAGAGAAGAGATTTCACAGCGTTATGATAAAGAAAAAGAAGATTTACATTATGAATTGGCCAATGCCATTACGGAACGTGATCAAGCACTAATCGAATCTGAAAATGAAAAACAAAAAGTTTGTCTTCTTAACAATTTTTCTAATTTTATCATTAGAATATTATTTCTATTTAGCTTTTATCTATTGCTCAATCTGAACGTAATTCCTTAAGCGAAAAATTAAATCAATCACGCGATGAGTTGACTCGTCTACAAGTAGATTTTGATAAAATTCGACGTGATGCTTCTTTGCATCATGAACAAGATCGTCAATTAATATTATCATTACAAGATGAATTAAAAAAATTTCATATAAAATTTGAAGATTCAACAATTGCCAATGAACGAGAAATAAAAGCATTACATGATGAAATTGAACAACTAAAACAGCAAAAACAATTACTAACACACGATAATTTTGAAATAAAAACACAACTGAAATTAACGGAAGATAATCGCGATCAATTGAAACGAGATTTAATTGAATCAAATCGACGTATTCGTGAATATGATGAAAATTTAACATTACAACGAAAAGAAATACAAGATCTCAAACGTTATTTACAAGATGAACAACGCGATAAAGAATTAACAATACGTTCGGCTGAAGATTTAAGAGCAAAACTGAAAAGTGTCGAAAATGAAAAAATTGATTTAAGACAGTTATTAGATGAAGCAAAACAACGAATTATAGGTACGTTTACGTAGCTTATATCTCATATTTTTGTTGCATCGCATCGTTTTAACTACGCCATCGAAGTTGTTGGTCAATAGCTTTCTTGCCACAAACTTTGTCTAATTTACTAACACAGAAAAAGATGTGCTAAATAAAGAGTTTTCATCACTTGACTTGTATATTCTTTGTAGTACTCGAAGAACAAAAATCGTTGTTTCAAAAAGATGCTAACGAATTACGTCAAAATTTACGAGATGTTGAACGTTCAAGATTAGAAGCACGTCGGGAATTACAAGAATTAAGACGTCATGTTAAAATGTTAGATAGTGAAACAAAGAAAAAATCAAAAGAATTAGAAGAATTGGCTGATCGTGTTCGACATGATGAACAACGTGAAGAAGAAATGAGACGAGAAGTATTTGGACAAAAACAACGTTTCGTCGAAGCTGAAGCAAGTCGAGAAGTATTGAGAAAAGAATTGGCTAATATTCAACGATATTATGTTGAATTAGAAGATGAACAACGTTTGAAAGAGAGAGATTTTAAATTGGCTGTCGATGATGCAAGACGTTTAGGTAAGAATTAGAAAAGATCTACTATGACAATGAGAAATACTGAACAATAATATTTACTTTTTAGAACGAAAAGCCGTTGATGAAAGACGAAATGTTGAATTAGCATTGGAAGGTGCAAATCAGATGATATCAGAATTACGAATTGCATTGTCGGGCGCTGAAGGACGTGCGAGTGCATTAGAAACACAACTGGCTAGGTAAAAGATCATTCAGATCTTAATTTTGGGTCATAAAACTATAATATTTTTTTTTACTTTACTTTGTTATATAGAGTTGAAGGAGGAAAACGAGATGCCGAATATAAACTTGGCAGCATTGTATCCAGTTTAAGACGAACTGTGGGCTATGGGCCACATGGCGGTTTAAGAAGTCGTTCACCAAGTCCAAATGTTCGTCGTCGACCAATATCGCCAACAAAAGGCTTTGATACAACCGAAAATCGTTCAAGTCCAATACTACGTCGTACATCGCGTAGTCCACATCGAAGTGTATCTGGTGAACGTGGTCGATCACCCGGTTCAGCTTATATTGATGTTGCTGATGTTGATCCAGAGGCTATTCGTACAGTTTTAAGAGAATTTGTACAAAATTTTATAACAACCGAACGAGATCGGGATGATGCCATTGCTGAAGCAACACAATTACGTCGAACAACAAAAGAACTCGAGGATAATCTTCAACGAACGGATCAACGTTTTAACCAATTACAAAAAACATTAATGTCATTCGAAGAAGGTAAAAGATTACTGATGAAAATTTGCTTTGTATTTGTTAGTATTAATGGCTACTGTTTTATTATTTTTCTTCTATTATATTTTCTAGATAAAAAAGGTACAGACACTCGGCTTCAAAGTACACAAAATGCCTTATTACTACAAGAAGACACCATTCGACGAAGTGAACGTGAACGAAAAACATTACTTGATCGTATAACAAATATGGAACGACAACTTATAGCAACTGATAATGAGAAAAAACAAATAATAGTACGTTCAAATTTTTACATAATTTAAATTCATCTATTAGCACAATGTTCATGATTTGCATTTAGGAAAAAATTGGTCTTTCAAAATCCAGTGAAATAAGGGTGAATGATGAAAAGAAACAGATAAAACGAGCGTTGGATGAGTGCGAAGCGAGAGCAACCGAGTTAGAAATGCATAAACGTGCATTAGAAGGAGAAATACAACGTTTAACAATGATATTAAATGACAAAGAAACCGAAGTTCAAGTACATCAGGAACGATGTGAAACATTAATTAAACAAATACAAGTAAGTGTATTGTTATTATTCTCACTAAGAAAGAAATAGTAACAAAAATAAGGTTGAAATCTTCTCCTCTAGCCTGAACGAGTGTTGTCTTGAACTGAAGGACTCATTTATTTCTCGAATTAATACTATTGCAACAGTTTTATATTAATATGTCGTGAATTTTTCATAGGATCGAGAAGAAAAATGCCAATCGTTACAATTAAGTGTTGATCGTTTATCATTAGCATTAGCAAAAGCAGAGGAAGGCGAGTCGAGTTTGAAAACACGTGTACAATCGTTAAATCAAACATTATCACAAACAAATTTTCAAGCAGCAGATTTACAACAAAAATTAGGAGGTGTTCAAGGAGCTGTTCAAAGTACGGAAGCAGAAAGACGAGTACTTCAAGACAAATTGGAACAAGCAAGGTTAGTATAGTAATATATTAGTTGATTAAACAAGTTGTATTTTCGTTCTACACTCTAGAACTAGTCTGTCAGAAATGAAAAAACAAAATCATGAATTATTGGAACGTGTACATCATTTACAAAATGAACTAACAGATTCAGAAATGAGACGACATGAACTAGAAAATCAATTGAGAAATGCTAATACGGTAATTTATCTAAACAATGTGATTCTAATTTAAAGTATTTTTGAGTGTTCTTCAAATATATTTTGACGCAGAAATTGAAGATCGGTAGATTTTAGTAATAAATGAATAGACATTATCTACATTACTAATGTAAAGATATTCATTTACTTACGAGATCAGACAGTTCGAACTGCCTTATAAAATCAGGTTTTGAATGATTTAAATAAAATATATCATCTTTTAGTATAATCTACCATAATATTTGGACTTATTTCATTTTTTTCAGTTCCTTGTACAACGACAAGAATCAGAACAAGAAGGAAATCAAAAAATAAGCATGTTAACAGCTGATAAACAAGCATTACAAGAAAAAAATGCGGTAAGTTTCATTTGAAACAAACGTAAATATTTTTCTGAAAATTTATTTATTGAATAGTTACTTCAACGACAACTTGGTAATTTGGATTTGGAAAAACGTGAAGCAGAACGATCAAAGTTACGGTTGGAAAAAGATAAAAATGTTCTTAAAAAAACACTCGATAAGGTATCTGTCAGAAAATGTTATAACAGTTAGTACATCTAGTTGATTTTATAAAATAGGTTGAACGTGAACGAGTTGTAACAGAAGAAATTGTACGTTCAACTGATCGTTCACAATTTGATCGACAATTTCAACGTTTGGAAGAAGACAATCAGACGTTACAGCGTCAAGTTCAAGAATTACAGGCACAATTAAATGAGTCTGAACAACATCATGCACAACGGTAATATAACCATAATACATTTTCTAGTTGAGAAATCTAAAACGCGCTCATTTACTTTCTAGATTAATTGATTTCACTACACGTAATAGACGTGAAACAGAAGCGGAAACTGAACGAATTCGAACATCGCAAACAGCGTAAGCTAAACATTTAATCGGATCTTTGTTCTCAGTTTAGAGATTATATATGTCTATTTTAGAGCAGAAAGAGCACTTGAAGCAAGAGAAAAAGCACATCGTGCTCGTGTTAAAGGCTTAGAAGAACAGGTATGAAAATTTAATATTACGGTCCCGCTCTGTTAGAAACCCATTTTCGTACCAGAACATCCGATCGTAATAAAATTTTCATGGAATATGTGCCTTATCCTGGAGCAATGACACTAAGCCCTAAATATTGAGTTCCATTTCTATCCTACAAATAAGGATCAGAAAGTACATGTTCTTGCGGCCAAGATTTCTTCGTCGTTTAAAGTGCTAAAAAGCTCGGGATGGTCTCGAAATATAGATAAGACTCGACGTTGCATCTTAGCAGAACTAGGTTTTCAAATTTTGTTATCAGTTTTCCCAAACATTTTTTGAGAAAAGTTTCGGCTACTTCTTCGGAAAACTCTATTTTTCTCCAGAACTAATTAACTCTTCTCCAGATGGAAAACCAAAAATCTCGCTCTGCCAAATTGTAACGCCAAGTCTTAGCTACATTTTAGAACCATGCGGGCTTGTCAGCGTTTAAAATGGCAGAGAAAAATTTGACGTATGAAGAGCTTAAACTAGAGATGTGCATGACGAAGCTTTTTTAGTCACGGTCACGCAAAAATTTTGTAAAAAAATCACAGTTACGGCGGTCACGAGAAATTGTTTTTCAAAAGTAGTTACGTTAAATATGCATGATTTTCACTTTCTGCAGTTGTCCTAACCCTCAGAATATTCTCAAACACACGTAGATTTTTTTTCAGGCGTAGCGAATAAACTATTAATCAAAAGCTACTGAAAAAATCAATGCCAGGCATACCATTAGGAAGAAAATTGTTTCAACATTGGTCGCAGTAGAAACTACCCTGATTAATATTTTTTCAAATAGTCACACCATGACCAGTGCCATGACCGTGACGGTCATGCACAAAAACTATAAAAAACGATTTCGAGAAAACCGCCGTTCATTTATTAGTGTACTTTAGGGCTTAAAAGAAAATGCTTGCAACTTTTTAACAGAAGGTTATACAAAGTTCCACTATATTTCATTTCGATCAGAGAAAGTTGTTCTACGAATCCATGCTTTTAACAAAACATACTTTAATTGCATAAGTATCATGGAAGAAACTAGAACTCGAATATACTTTATTTGTCCAAGTTTCCAAAAATTTCTTTTGAAAACCATGAAACTTTACCTCTAGAACAGAAAGCGATACAAATTCTAAAATTAAACACTGCGTATAAATTTCAGAATCCACACTTTTGATGATAAATTGATTTTTCTAATGAGAGGAGTGGTCCTAAACAACAAACACTTGATATAGCTCATTAGTACACTTTTTTTTTTAAAGATAACAACATTAAAAGAACAACTTAGCCAAGAAATACGTAAAAGACAAACATTTTTAAATCGTTCGATTACATCTGGTGAGGAAATAACAGCATTAAGAAGTATGGTAAATGATTCACTATCATTTGTTTCTCGCGATCCAAAAGGATTAGATCCAGTATTATTAGATTATGAAACAAAAAGACTTGCTGATTCATCTGGTTATTTGAATGAACCACCGCAACGACATCGGTCACCAACACGTAGAACATTATCACCATCAATTAGTGTACGAGCGATGCGTTCAGGCGCAACATCGGCCGGCGGTCTTTCTATATCATCGCCAAGTGGTTCAAAACAGACAAGATCGTCACGGACTAGATTAACATAAATGAAAAGAATTTCGTTCTTACCTTAGCATACAACTATTCAAACATAATTAATATCTTATGCATGCGACCTTTGCACAATTAAATACTTTTGATTTTGATTTTTTATTATTTCTAAGTGCCTTAATATCCCATAGACATGCTCATATTATGTTACATGATCTCATGTTAGTTTAAAAAAGACGAGTGTTTGCATTCTAAAATTATGAATAATTTTTCTGCTGTTACTTAAAAGTTGTGAACATTTATAGTTTGGAATTTTCTTCTTTTTTTTTGAAAGAAGAACTATGGGTTAATTTTCCATAATATTTGCCTTATTTTTCTACCTTCTCATACTCTTAAACTCATTTTATTTAGTCTAAATTGCTATTCTCTTTTCATACTGACGTTGTTTTGTTCAAACGTAGAAAAAAACAGTTTTTAATCACAGTGAAATAATAATCTCCCTTAAAATTTACTTTTATTTGCGTTTTCTATTTGAGTGTGCGCCTCCTGACTTCTTCATTAGAATTATTTCTTCTTTTATTTCTGTTCGTAAAATCTTGCTCACACAGAAAATCATATTTTTAAAAACTTTCTTTGTACAATATATTTAGACTAGAATTAATCCGTTCTCATATTTTGGTGGTCATTTTTCGCTCAAATAGCAATCTCTCAACTGAATAAGCCAGAAATTAGATATAATTCATTCGATGCCGTCCGTCTTTTTTCTCTTTTCAACCCCTATACACTTTTTTACAACAATTTTTTTGAATGTTGTCAATATTTTTTGTGTTTTCTTTTTTATATATAAAAGCTTCTATAATACAGTGGATGTTCGGTTTCTCTGCAAAATATTTATAATCATATATTTAGTTAATATGTTGCTTTTTTTGCTTTCATTCCAGAATAAAATGGAAATTTTTTATAAAAGACATCTCTCTAGATCGGGTTGATTTTTTATGCATATGAAACGCAAGGATACAAGTCACATATTTCCAAGAGATTAAAAGAAAAATGTATTTTTCAGCGTATGGGAACCTTATTTTAAGCACCAACACGTTGTATGACTCTGTATGACAAATAATTCACCTTGACGACTGGATCACGTTGATAACAAATTCATTCCATTTCGTTACCATTATTCACTGTCGAACGTAAAATAGAGATTGATGTCATTAGAGTAACGCAAAACGAAAAAACCAACTTCCACTAAAAACCTATTTTCTATATAACCTATGAAATACGTGTACAACAGATATAGAAGATGAATGATTAATTATCTTCTAGTTTTGGTCTTTTTAAATCACCGCTTTGCTGGGCTGATTGTCCGTTACTTTTCTCATCCATTTGTCCAATATCAATCAAATCATGGTCGTCATTGTTTAAATTATCTTCGTCGTCTATGTCTTCTTCTTCTTCTTCTTCTTCTTCTTCTTCTTCATCCTTTTCAGCATCAGCTAAAATTGAAAACAATGAGATGAATCAAAGAAAAAGACACTCTCATATCTTGCAATATTTCAGCATGATGTTTAAATTCATGCCTTATTGTATTTAACCCTTTGAGTGTATTTAAGAGCAAATGCTGATAAATTTCAAAACTATAGGATCATTTCATAACCCTCACCGCTTTCTACACACTATAGATAGAAAATTTTGATTACGTTTTGCTTTACGTTTATTTTCCCCAGAAGCTTCTTGTTTTTCTTTGTTTACATATTCAGTGAATATTTTTGATATGTCTGTTTTTAATTGTTCATTAGCCAATATCAATCGTTCATACGACTGTTTGCCATTTGAATTCACAACGTTGTCATTACTAACATTTTGTTCGAGAATTTGTTTGAAATGAGATAATTTTACTTCCACTATTGCTTGAACATGACCTTCAGTCATATTTTTAAAAAAAGATAGAATACAATACTGAAATATAAAACATCTCAAACCAAATTAAGATACTCTAATATTATTGTTGAACAAGTCTTTCAAATGCGGAGAAATATATCGTTTTACTAAATGCAAACACTTTAATAGACAAGAAAAAGTTATCGAGATTCATAACTAAAAGATAAAAAAAAATATTGTTATTTTACTTCGGAATGAGTTACAGTACAAAAACACTGAAAATAATTTGAAAATTTCACTATTTCAAAACTAACACAACAGTGATAGATTTCGACATACTGCTGAATTCAAAATATTGCCGTTCAAATCTACTCGATTATTGGATAATTTGTACTTATCGAGTATTTCTCATGCACTGCACAAATAAAATCGTTTTGAGAAAACTAAACTATGAGAGTTCAAAAATTGCAGTCAACGTATTACCACACGCAGATGGTGATCGTGATCAATAATAGTAAATGTTAAAAGAATAACAGTAGAAGAAAATACATAATAAATAGAAGCTAATAAAAAATAAACTAAAAGTCACCTTACATATACTCAATTACAAAATGAAAACGAATGCTCTATCAAGATTAAAATAAGAAAATATACTTTATTTTGTTTTGTTTTTTGCACTAACTGATATCTCACAGTCACAGAAACAACAAATATTGTAGTCAGATATTCATTTTAACCTCATCTGACATTAATGTGTCTTATACAATAGTTCTAGATTAGTATCGTACGTTTCATCACGAGTGCGGTTAGTTCATGTAGTACACTATGAAACATTATTTATATTTGTTTTGATTATTTCTATCAATGGTTTACAGGCGGAATTCGATGAGTAAATGTCAATATTAAACTCCATTGCTTGTGCTATACCATAAATCTAAATAATTTGATTAGTTAATATAACACTGTTTTTGTTCTGTGGAAATAAACTTACATCTTTTTCTGCTTCTCCAAGTGCGATGATCACACTTAAAAAGACTTCTGTTTCATCATCGGGTACTTTATCTTTCATATATTGGACAATTGCCGATGCAAATGAAATTGTATTCATAAAACTGAGCTGGAACGTAACAAAGGGTCCAGTTACTGAATTTCGATCAAAAAAGTAGAAAGACAAAGAAGATACTGACTCGGACAGTCGATCCTGAACATAATAAATTATGTAGTAAAACGATTATTTCATATTTGACATGTTTTGAGTAAGTTTCATTAAGAATTATTTCGGTGAATATCGGAACTAAATCGTCTTCAACATTTAACAACATAGTTTGACCTGTTGGTGTTGATGCAATTGATGAAAACTTGAATGAAAAGAATATAGTGAACAAAATTCTGTTGCAGTTGTTTTTAGAGAAGCGATATTTTACCCATTTCATGAATTCGATTTGTATTTGTTCTGGTTGTTCTGTTAATCCTTTAAGTAATTCAATAGGTGAATCTTGTCCTTTTAATTCTGAAAAACTTTTTGTAACATGTTCACGTTCAGACAGACATTGTAGCAGTTGTAGAACATCTATTTGTCCATCTATATCCTCAATATCATTTACCATCAATGAGACTAATAAAAAACGGTAAAACACAGCTTTATTTAAAGACCCTTTGTTTTGATGCATACTCATTAGTGAAATATGTTCTTTTGTCAACATTGGAGAATAATTTGTGGTAGGTAGAAATGTTTCTCTAATATCATCTAATAATTCGATTTCGTGTTTGTTAAATGATCTTTTACATAATCTTTTGATTGTGTCGATTTTATCTACTGTTATATCTGTTTTTGACAAAATAGATTTTCTAACTGTTCGTTTTGCATTGGATGGAACGGAACTATTCACCATATGTACGTTATCAGCGGTTTGATTATTGCTGCTATGTGTTGCATTTTCTTGCGCAACAGATATTGGATCATTGTTCAGAAACGAGAGAAGCATACGTCCGAGAGGACTAATAATAAGAAGAAAAATATTGAGTAAGATAATAGAAAATTCAAAATTAATTATCTTACGTTGATTTAACAATTTTTGGTAGATCGAGTATATCTTCAGGAATGCCCTTTCCAGCTAACAAGTATTTACATAATTCATTAGAAAAATTATTACAATTCCAATCTAATAGATGATATCGGATGCCTCTAAACAGTGAAAATAAAGGTTACATGCATACACATTTTAGATGAAAAGATACTCACTGGAAACGACCGGCTCCTTGTTCTACGATCCACGTTTCAACTTCAGCAATTGTTTTATTTGTGTCACCCAACAGTACAACTTTTGGTTTAGGAACATAGCCTAGTTGAAATAATTCCTCAGGACCCGTAAACGATATACCACTTGAACCAAAAAGGTACTCCTTCCCGTATACTCCTACGCCAGTATGCCATACTCCATCAATTTGTCTACCTGGAAGACAATCGGTTATTAAATATTGATTATTTTACAATGACAAGAAAACTATTTACTTACCTAGTAACGATGATCCAAGAGCACTAGCCAATCCGTTTGAAATATCATAAATATATAATTTTACTGCAGACGGCATCTTCTGAAACCGAAATGAACTTCGAACGAACTATCTAAAGACAAGAATGAAGAATCCAACAGAAAGGAAATAGCTAGTATTTGTTTAGAAACTAACTGCGTTTAGAAAGACTAATTTCTGTCTGCATCATCAAAATTATTTGATAAAACGATAGAAGAACATGTCAACAGCTTTTATTATGGATATGCATTAAATAAAGATGAATAATGTCTTAAATCGACGTCGAAAACTCTAGGTTTTCGCCTTGTTCATACTAGGCAAATATAACTGAACCTTAATTGAACCAAAGAACAAAATGATGTAAAAGAAAAACGTCCAAGTTTACGCTTAGTTTGTTGTTTATTTACTAAAATTTATCAACAACAGATTATGTAGAAGAAGGAAAAAACATAAAATATAGAGGAGAAAAACACGTTTCTTGAATTAATGAAAAAGAACAACTAACGCAACGTAAAGAACTGAACAGTTTCACTTTGGTTTGTTTATATATATGTACATAAATGAGAAAGAGCTATACGTAAACAATAAGAAAAAAAGCAAAGTGAGTGCAAAATATAAGAGCAAATACACGCATAACAGTAAAAATCTTTCAATTTCTTTAATTTTGTCAAAAAAAGACGTAGAACAAGATAATCACCTGTGCACAGTGACAAGAGAAAGAAAAGGACTATTTAGTGAAAAAGCTATAGATCTTTTTTACTCTATCACACGCTTGAAAGTGGAAGAGAGGTATGAATTTTTGTACTATTGAATGAGGTTCGTAAAATAAGTCTGAGGATACCTGAACATTCTTTATTCCAAAGTGACAAAAATTTGACGGGAACTGGAAAAAAGCGTGAATTTTTCAAAAATTTTACGATATTGCAAGGAATCGACACGGGGAAACGACAATATTTTTCGGTCTAAATATACGGTGTCATGCACTTACGAGCATTTAATTGTCTAGTCTATTACGCTTCTATAAATGACAAAAAATCTAACATATGTGGTACCGAAGAAAGGCGAATGACTATAAAATCACAATTAATATACAACAACGAAATTACATATCTTTAATCTGATAACACAATAATCTCTGGTTCTTCATCTGTCGACTTCCGTAAGACTTTTTTCTTTAGATTACGTTTTCTATAATTACATTGATGATTACTGATTGACGAAGATGAGGAAGTTGATGTTAACGACGAAGATGATTTTTCACGCCGTGTTTTTAAACGTTTATGTTTTGTAGTCGTTTCTGACGTGCTGTCATCTTCGATTGAAGAAGACGAAGTTGATGTAGAAATGACACGTGCTTTTCGTTTTGGTAATCGACGAAATGACGATGATTGGCTCTGTATGGAACCGTTGAAACGAAGGGAGGGATCATCGGAATTACTACTAGATGAAGCGGGAGAGACGGTTGAACAGTTCGATGATAGAGATGTCGAAGAAGACGGAGAACATTTTCGCAATGATTTTTTTTTCGATGAGGTTGTAGATTTACTGGAATTCGATTTATTTCGTGGGATAATATTTGATAATGCATTCATTGGTGAGGTTGTTTGCTGTTGTGTTGATGATATTGGCTCCCAAGATCCACAGTTTTCATCCAATGGTAAAATGCTAACATGTGAAGAATTTGAATCGCGCCGATTGTCGATTGAAACAGGAGAATTACCATGATCATTGACTACGTACAGTTGATCAGAATCAGCACACGTATATTCAACAGTATCATCTAATTCATTAGTTTTATTTTGTTGAAAATAATTATTATTGACTTCATTTTGATTATTTTCTTCTTCTTCGTCATCACTGGAGAGTATAATCACTTCATGAATTGCATTCGTTTTCATCGGAAAATTGTTATAATTATTATCAGGTGTTTCTACAAAGAGAAAAATCAACAATATTCTATTATATCCTATAAGTAAAAATGTATAGAATTAAGAATTTTGTCACGCATAATCACATATAAAAATATTAACTCCTTAGTCGTCGTTATGTTATGTTTCATCAACTTCTAGCTGAGAATTTCAGTGTAGCAAGATCTTGTCAAGATGCGGCCATTTCTAATAAAAAGTGAGTAGGTGACAGTATCATGATTTCCTAGCTATTAACTTAAAGCTTACCAGTTGTAGAGTTTTAAATTAATAACAAACTATCGGTTGTGAAAATTTTTTCGATATTCAAGTCAATACACAACAACACGTCATAAAAAACCATGTCAATAAAGTCATATTTTATTTCAAACTGTTGTATTGTATACTAGATGTTATTATCGACGATTTATATAATCAAATTTATTAACTAAACGTTTATAGGTTATATTAAACGCGATTGTGGGTCTATAGATCATTTTTTGTTTTAACTACTGATGATGATATGTTAACATATCGAAACGTTTAGTTAATAAATTTGATTATATACAAAGAAAAAGTTGAAATTACCTATGCTTAAATTTTCCAACTTCGTAAACAATAATAATGTTAATTATAATGTTTAACCATGGGAAGAAAGGGTTAAGATAGAATTCTACACATAAAAGTCCCTTTCTGAGGTGCATAATTTAACCGAATAAAAGATAGAAACATATATCAACACAGATTACACGATCCGATTTTGAAACCGTAGGTTTTCAGAATTTAAAAAACGAAGAAAATACCCAAAGATTCTGAAACATTCAACGTAACCGGAGAATCGTTCGCTATGTCAGCACGAATATTGAATATATTTGGGACAAAACTTAAACAGGTTTTTGTAGTATTTTTTGTAGTGCTGCTCAGAAAATATTACTGGAAACATACTTGTTGACGAAGATATAGAATGATCAAGTATTTCAAAATAATCAATATCATGTTTTTCTCCTTTTGTATTTGGCATAACAACATCAAATTTTTCTTGTTTAACTGTATCAATAATATAATTGAAATGAGGTGTCGTAGAATCTGTGCTATTCTGATGTTTTGTAGGATCAATTTCAACTGTCGAACAATTCATAGGAACACTTTTCAAAATATTTTCTAAATGTTTATCAACTACTAATGTATCATATGGACAAGCCTATAATAAGATAAAAATAAAATAATTGATTGGTAACGCTTAACATCGAAATGATAACTATTACCTTTTTACATAAAGGACAATTCCATATTACACGTTTTTCATTCATTCTCAAAAAATTTTTCAAATCAAAGCAATTTAAATGTGAACAATTGATAGATTTTGATGGCATTTGTATTATTGTTTGTGTTATTGGACATAAAAGTGATACTTTACACGTTGTTGTACAAATCATGTCCTCTTCGTCTAATTCAATATCACTGTCATTCGTTTGCTGTTGTTGAAATGGATTATGAAATACATATGGCTCTCGTTTTATTATATTTTCATACAGCGCAAGTAACGGCACTTTTTTCATTAAATCAATAGTCAATGTATATGATTTGGGAAGATTTTTTAATTGCATATTCATTGGCGATTGTATCCACATTAAATCAATAATATTCACAGCATTCGGCTTCGCTATAATTAAATCTGTGATGTCACTGGGAAATGTGGGATGATGCGCTTGTTGACCTACGGTTTTTGTTACTGTTTGTTGTATGGCTGATTGTCCGTTACATGAGACGTACAGATACGGCGGTAACACATCGATCTGTTGAGCAGACGAGCTTGTAACACAAAATCTTAGAAATAAACGAATCTCAGACGATGTATGACTAGTCGATGATGAATAAAGCTGTTCGATCTCGTCTGTATTTATTTCGAAACGAAATGGCAAAAAATTTGCGCGATCAACGTTAATATTGAAACATTTGATGGTTTTGATTTTATCATAGGATGGTAATGGTAGAAATTCAGTAACATTCGAAGACGGTGTGAAAGAAAGGTGTGTCGGAAGCACCGGGGGTGACAATGGCGAATAGTGTTCATTATTCTTGTTCATACCTTGATTTTGTTGTTTGTTAGTATTAGTAAACGTTTGTTGGCGTTGTTTCAGTGTTTGAATAGATTCTTTTGTTGAACGTGTACGGTTTAAATTAATTTCTTGTATTTTCAGAGCAACTTGTGGCGAATAGCATGTTGTTATATATTTCTTAGCACGTTCTGTTAAATCACGTTTGTGACCACTATGGCTCAGATGCGCATAATCTAACAAAGCCTAGAAATAGTAAAATGAAACGAACCAGAGTCAAGGACAGCTGATGTAAATATTTATTTACCTGTAATTCTTGTATACGAAACTGTTTTATTAAATTTAATGCTGCATTCTTTGTTAGTGCCATACTGATATTGTATAGATAAAATTGTTTTATCCCTACTTTTGTTCACACATGTGAGCATGACACGAAAAACGGAGAGGGTTTTGAATTCACTAAATAGTAAACGTAAACTTGCAATACACCTATAGTAAAGAATCACCTCAGTTGAACTATTTGACGCAGTTTGCTAATAGGAAGAAAGTCCTTTTTTTTTACCAAGCAAAAATGAGCTGTAATACGTGAAAAATAACTACTTTTTTCCGCCAGTTACACGTTTTCTAAACCATTTGTCTCAAATACCGCCCAACGAAATTTATTAAGCGAGGTTCTTTTCAATTCTCAGATATCCTAGGAGTAAAAATCGCGCTTTCTAGTCATGATGACTCATCGGATCATTAGCAGATTTGTACATTTTGTATTCACCAACATGTTTTTATATCTATTCTCATTTTCTCATTGAAAAAAAACTAACAAAGGTATGCGAGTAAGAATTAGAAACTGAAGTTATATCGAAATCGTTCCTCATTCACTCTTTAATTTGACATGCTATTTATCCTATCAAAATAACAACAACAACAAAAGTCATAAAATACGATCACGACAAGCTAAACACAAATAAGCGCAACGACCACATTTTTTTCCATTGCGTATAGTATTAGTATAATTTTCCGTCAATACAAGCTTATCTCGACCATGAAATGCTGACAAAAAGCATGTTCATAGATATCATCTACAATTAGTGAGTTATTCATCCAGTCAAAAGTGTTCGATAGAGAGTGTCTTGAAATTTCTAGGATGAGTCAAACAAGCTAAAGTGAAATTACGTCGACACCGTCAACGTTCATACTTGCAAAGTGTGTGCGACTTTTCCATTTTAGATTATTTTGATCTGTCCGTTGAAACTAGCCAGTGGCAAGTAGCACTCCCCACAGATTACAAGCATGCTCTACATTCCAGTTCTTTAGCAAAATATTCAGCATCATTCAAAACTAGATGGTCATTTCTCCATGCAGGATTAGTTTCTAAAGAGTTTCAAGCCATACGCAGGGATGTCCCGACCAGAGACGTGTGTGTGTGAGTCCCTCAAAATCCTGAAAACTTTTCTTTCGTTTTGTACGATTTCGGTGGTTCGTGAGATCAGACTTTCCGGTTGTTCTTAGGGATGAGAGGGGCTAAATATATTGCTTCGCCAAAAGTAGCTGGCGAAAACAAGTTTGGGCAGAAAGTTGCTGGTAGAAAAATGTCAAAGATTTTGCAAGAAAATTCAAAAACTTTTTTAAGGAGGGTCCCCCTGATCGGGACTCTTGCGGAGACATAAGCAATTTATTTCTTTTAAAATATCAATAGCTTCTGAGCTAAGAGAGATGAAAACTTTTTCTTTCTGCTAAAATGTAACCACAACTCTACTCTATCTACGATCTGCATTTTGTCAACTGACTATTAGTAGTCAGTAAAATACAGGTATTTTACGGGCGAGGATCGTTTTTTTGATGAAAATTCGAGGTTCCTTGTGAAAAAAATGCACAGCTGAGTCTAGGACACTGAATAGTCCGAAATACGGTAGTTTACAAATATTTAGAATTCTCAACTTTTTTCGGTCAATTTTCCAGCGGAAAACCGTTTATAAACCCGTTTATAAATCAAAAATTTATAAATAAACGTTTATAAATCGATTTATAACTATTTGGGACATTGCCAAAACTATTTCGGACTCTTCACTGGCTGGGAGCATCATACTGACTTCAAATTTGCACCAAAGACTCTACGGTGTCTGTATATTATCTAACCAAAGTATGAAGGTTAACTATCGGGTGGTTCTGAAAATTCATTGAAGACGAGCACCCACTATTGAAACATACGTAGAAGAGCGAGGGTGAGAAACTAAGCGCTCCTCTTTCTACTATAGAATCTACATTCAATGCACATCATAAGCATGAAAAATAATCATAAAAACCTATAATTCCCAAAAACGTATGTGAAACTTTTGTCAGAAAGATGACACACTTACCATTAAAATAAGTGAAATGACGAAGGTCAGAGGTCAGTGTGCAATCTTTCTGACAAAAGTTTCGCATACATTTTTCGGAACCATAGGTTTCTATGATTATGATGCTTATGATCAGAATTCGGTAAGAGCTAAGTTTTTCTTAGAGTTTCTTTCTTTAGAATTAAATTAGTCGTCTAACTTAGTTCTTACTTAATCCATACTAATATCATTCTTTGTGAAACAAAAACATTTAAGACATTTTATTTAAAAATAGTTTATTTTCTGCCAAACCAACACTGTCCCAAAAAAACGCAGTTAAAGCGTATGTAACAGTGTCGTGTTAGTAGTTTTTTATTTTTGTACTTGGGTACTTCTATTTCGCCCATCATTACATGACATCAAAGCCGTAAAAATGTCGATACTCTTCTCGTGTAAGTCATAGAAAATTACATAAAAGCCTCCAACTAATTGTGCAAAAATCATATTCTATATGCCTTTTTAGGAATGTCAAGTTTTGATCTCTCTTACAATGAAGAAACGTTGACGTTATTTTTCCCAGCGTCTGAAGAGCTTACACCACTGTCTGACATACTACGCAAAAGATCATCTCGAGTAGTACAAATACTGATATTAAAAACTTCTTCTACTACTTTTGCAAGAGTAGGTCAGCTACCACAAAATGGTCGAAAATGAGAAAACGACATTCAGTATTTTATCTCTTCTGCTTGGTTTCCGATTAACGGAGGGGCGGGGCCCAATGTGCATCCAGGCAAACATTAGCTGAAAAAATGCTAAAAACTTTCTCCAAAATCTGTGACATTTTTCCAGCAGCAACTTTCTGCAAAGCAAAATGTTTAGCCTCGCCGATTCGTAAGAACAACCGGATACTCTGCTCTTTTGAACGCAAAAGAAAAGGAAAAGTTCTTTTATTATAGATGAAACTGAAGCTGAAGAAGTACCTAATCTGATGGAAAAAGAATCATATCACCGACAAAAAAAAATTAAAGTTCATTTAGCGTTAAAGAAAAGTGCTTTTTCGTATTCAGCACACTTGATAATCTGAAAAATTTTCTATTTTTAGCGAGGAGTACCGTCAAAAAGCTAAGAAAAATTTTCAAACAAATTGACGCAGAAAAATTCTCATGGTAAAATTAAACAATTTTAAAAATTTTTCTTAACTTTTTGACGGTACCCCTCGCTAAGAATAGAAAATTTTTCAGGTTATCAAGTGTACTGAATACGAAAAAGCACTTTGTTTTAACTCTAAATGAACTTTAATTTTTTGTCGGTGATATGATTACGTCCTAAATCAATTTTACCAGTAGATTCTGTTCTCTTTCTTTCAATGAGGATTTTAAATTCGTGATATTTGGATTAAATAAAATTTTTCATCCGTTTGTTGTGAAAGACATTCTCGAACTGATGAAAATACACTAGTGACTTGAGAGATACATTTAAAAATAATGAAATACTCTACTGTCACACAATTATTTTATTTAAAAAAAAAAAATGTTGTCAGTCTTAATTACGAATGATTGAATTAATAAAATTTTACAGATCTGAACACGTTGTTTCTTTTTTTAAATTTTTATAAGAAATAGAACAAAAAAAATGTCAGAAAGTAAACGCTCGGTCGTCAGCTCTTGTTTAGATAGAAAGGCACGCATCCGTCGCTTTTATTATTTTTCCTAATGCTTGCTAAGAATGTAGTAGTTAAATGAAACAAAACGTGTAGAATAATCTTCTATTGATATTTGTTTCAAGAGATAGTTTAATATAAGTTTTTGTAGATTAATATTTTTCTAAAATCTTACTGAGAATCACGCTATTACACGATACAAAGCGTAGTCGGAGGTAAAGGGAAAATGTATGAGATATGGCGTAGATTAAGTTCTCAGAAATTGAAGTAAACAAAATCTGAACAGCTGTGTATGTCAAATTATTTAAGGACCTGAAATAAAGTATTATTGTGCAAAGTTCAAATTACGCCGTTCTACACGTCGTATGGTGTATAAGGCCTTAGAAAAATGTTAATCTACAAATAACTCGCATTAAACTATATCACTTTATCTAGGTGCCAAATCACTTGTATAACGAACCCTTTGGGTGACAAAACATTTGAATGACAGTCTGCTGATACTGATGCATTCCTAGTTATCGTAGAAACGTTCATGTCCATATTGCTATCTAAAAATGTGTATTTCTTCTGTATATTAATGTATCCGAAATAAAAATCATACACAATAAGTGCTCGCGAATTAACATAAAATTAATAGATAATAACTATAGTTTTTATTTTTTCGAACGAAAAACAATACTTCTTTCTTCTTAAACGTAAATATGATGCATTTTTCAGTTTATAGAATGTAATTTGAAATAAATTTATGAGCTTTCTACTTAATGGAATCATAAATATTATTTCACAGTAGCGTATACATTTTTCTCTCATGTCTGCATGTCGAAATAAAACATATATATTTTTTAAATTCGAATATTACCTTATACTTGACATATATCAGTCTACTATTATCATTAAAAATGGCACAAAGAATTTTTGCTTTTTCTTTTTATTCTCTTTCTCTATTTCACATTGTGTTAATTCTTTTTGATTAATATAACTTGCAGAGCAGACGTTCAAAAATCTATTTATCTTTCTTTTATAATTTGTTAATAATCTATATATACACTAGCGGCATTGTCAAGAAGTTCAAGTTAAAAGAGAAAAAAAAAGTATAGAAATAGGAAAAAAGAAATTTTTAATAGAAAAAAAAAATGATTAATTTACTAGTTTGCTCTCTCCTTGGTAGATATTAGGTCTTGTGACTGTGTATGTTATTATTTTTCTTGTCTTTCATCATTTTACATTATAATCTTTACTTCCGTCCACATCATATGAAAAGAAGGAAGAGAAGAAGAAAAATGCAAAACTAGTTAGTAATACGGTGAAGTTCAATAGAAAAAAAAAAAAGCAATGCTCAATAATACTGAGGAAATGTTCGAGGATAAAAAAAAGACGAGAATGCACAGTCCTTGGTAT